GTCTTATATTAGTGATAGGAAAGTTTCACAAAATGAAACTTAAAATTACTAAATCTTCAATGAGGAATTCCTATAAAAAGTTTATGTTATTTGCAAGTTAAGTATTGTCAAAACCTATGAAAAGTGTGAGAAATAAACCTGTTTTGATTTTTTTTTTTTGGCTGGCAATTTGATTTGAGGTTTAGTTATTTCAAGCATTTTTTTAATGAAATTATTCCTAATTAAATTCACATTTTTCCAATAAATAGTTTTTATTTAAATAATTTTAACACCCCTCCTATGCAGGAGGCATCCACACACCAGCACCCATGTTAACAAGAGATATACAACACAACCCTTTTTAACCACAGGAGATATGGGACGTCATGTGAAGGCTACGCTTAGCTAAATAATACTACCTCTAGTTCTTAATATAAAGACTATCTAAATAATTTAAAGTGATTAAGAGAATTAATTAAATTAGTTATATATAATAAATACAAGTTATTTTTTTAAAATACTCTTTTTAATCATGACTATCATTGGATAAAAATCTCCTTAGTATGTATAATCAACAGAGATGCTCTAGAGAATGAATTATAAATTTGAGAGACAAAATGAATTGAAATATTTTATTTTGGACTAAATCAAATTCTCTTCTAGATCTTATATTAAAGACTGAAGGTAGTATAAGGTTAGTTATATATTCAATTTTGTCCTGAATATAAAATCTCAATCCATTTGTTCACCCCAAAAAAAATCTCAATCTATTTTGTTTCTATATTTATTTATATTTTTCAAAGTAGTCCTATAATAGTTATACATGTTAAATGTTTAATAAAAAGTTAGGTCAATAAACATAATTGTGTATTGAACTAATTTGATCTTCCTTAATGATATTAGCTTTTCTAGTCAAAAAAATACATTACACATGATCAGCGAGGTTATTTTAAGGAAAAGAAGACATGTTTGTTATAGATAACTTTCTTTTTTGATAAATTCATTACAAATAATTAATTAAATTAAGTTTTTTAATATCTGTAAATTAATTATCTAGTTTTTATATTAAGAATAAGATAGTAGTATCTTTTAGGAGTAGAGTGATATTAAGGGAAACATTCTCTTCGTTCTCTTATAAAGTGCACAACCAATTTTCAAATTTCTGGTAGTATAGATGTCTATATATTTAGTGGCCATCGTGCTTTAAACAGGATTATTTTTATTAAAAATTATATCTGCGAGCAATAAAGAAGTATAACATATTTTAATAGTCAGCCTTTTTATGTGAGTGCCTGGTAGATCACTTGGAATCTCAATACAATATGTCTCCCTCTAATTTCATTTTCTGACAAATACTATACAAGAAGGTCATTGGAGAAAGAAGAGGTTTAAAATGGCTATATATTTTTATGGATCCTGTTCAGGAATTTTCAAATGTTTGCTTTCACGGATTTTAACAAATGGTTATTTGTTTTCTCTATGCTCAGGAGGGTTTTGCTTTTCCTTCACTGCATGACATCTTTTATTCACATATGTTTTCTCACAGACTTCATCTCTTATACTATCTCTGTTCCTAAAAATAAGATCTCGTTTGTAATCTACAAATTAGATATTAAAATTAGGACCGGAGATACTTTCTTCTTCCTATAATTACCAGCATGCACTATTTGTGATGGCTCCAAGTTGTTTCATTTAAAAAGACTCTTGATTGCATTGCAAAATACTTTCTTCGCATTAAAATATAAGTATCAAATAATTAAATCATGCAATTCAAAAAATTAGTTAAAAATAAATATATAACAAGTGCTACTTAACACCCTTGTTTATGAGGAGGGTAAAAGAGAGAGAATGGATGGAAAATAGATGAGAGAGAATGAGCAAAAAAAAGCAACGAGAGAGACACATAATTAATTAGGAATAAAAAAATATATATATATTAAATAATCAGATAAATTCAAATTGATGCTTATAGAAAAATAAACTTTTTAAAAGATTTGATACTTATATTTTGAACTAAGAGAAGTAGTTTTGCTTTTGAGATTTGCTCAAATTTAGATTTTTGTTTTCTTACCATGTTGCTTTTTGTGCTTTTCCATGATATGTCCTTGATTTTTTTTCTCGAATTCTCCTATTAAACTTATGTTTTAAACATTTTATTTTTTATTTTATAATGTAATTGTGTTTTATGACAAGAAATGAAGTATCATTGCAAACTCTACCATACTACAAAAATTTTCTCGTTTTTCTTCTAATGTTCAAAACTCTTAATTTTTCATTAGCCGATCATCTTTAAACACACATTAAGCTTCCTAGATAAGTTTTAATCACATGGGAGACTCCTTTCCTCATAACATGCATTTTCGTAAAACACAAGCCATTTTTTTCAAAGTAATAGAGTAAGCACTAACATGCTAAAGTTGATATTGAATCCATCACCTCTTACTTATAGAGTCATTGACACAAGTCATGTTTATAACAATCCAACCAATTTTTATGAGCATCTATTTTTTTTTTATATAGAATGAAAAATTTTCATCTTCCTCCATATGTTTAATCAGTACATTTTCAATAATTTGGAATTCATAATATGGGATGTTTAGAAAGGAGGGGGGCATTAACAAAAAAGGATATACTCAAATACAATCACTGCACTCACCAAAAGTGGTAGGCATGCTCATAACTCACTATTCTGGCTTTCACAACACTCAATGGTCCGGCTTCATATATAATATTGAAGCAACCGTTCCAACTTTTTGTACTTCACAATTCCTACAACCATCAATAATTTACTACTCCTCTCGTTATTAATATAAAACATATTTAACTAATTTGATTAAATTAAGAAAGAAAAATTAGTTAATTATAAAAATAAAACTTTTTTTTTAAAATAATATAATTATCTTTCTTAATATCATTTCTCCCTCTTCTACTTGATTATAACTGAGGAAATGTCCATAGGACTAATTTAGAAAACACTGATAAAATATAAGAAATAGATTTTATATTTAGGACCAAAATCAACTCAACAACTAGGTCTTATATTAAAAACCGGAGGAGTATTATGTTCCCTTACACAAATCTTTGATTTGATTAAATTATTAATAAACGTTTTAGGAAAAAATGTACACACAGATCTTATTGATTAAAAAATAAATAAATCAAACCAATAATATATATACCTTTAAATAAGATCTATACAACACATTAATATTTGTTTTTATAAGTTTATATTAAAGTATACTACTTCTGATTCTAAATATAAGACCTTCTTTATATATTTGGGACCGGAGGTAGTAGTTCCGTGGTCTTATTGTTGTTGTTAATAAGAAATTTTATATTGTAAAATATTATTTAAATGTAGCAATTATGAACAGATTTGGATTGCGCATGGAAGAGTAAAATAAAGATATTACCATACCAATTCAAACAAAGTTTATAGATCTGATTGCAAACTAATAAGCCAATCAATAAAGACACTAACATGGCAGTCACCTCATTGTTCTTGAGATTTCTGATGAAAAGCTCCTATTTAAACAGACACACAAAGATGTGTAAGCAATTTTTACCCACTTATTATTATTATTACTACTGCATCTGATATGGCTCATTGACTTTTAACATCAAAAAGAGAAATTGCTAATCATGATTTGTGTTTCCCACACTCCCCCAGGCAATGGCTTTTTCACCATTCTTTCTTTTCCTTGTTCCTCTCTATCTATCATTGCAAATGGGGTTCACTCTTTTGGAGAGAAGAAGACTTTCAAAATGCAAAACTTGCGGGCGAAACCACAACTTGGTCCCCTGGGTCCTCCCAGAATCAAGCAAGTTAAATGACAGAAAATGGGAAGCACAAATTAAAGATGTTATCTGTACTTTGGGATCTCCCATTATTTTATCAAAACTGTTCTGCACTTTACCTTTAGGATCTAAGACTGTGCTTTTCTTGAAGAAATACGCTCTTCATCGTTCTCTCTCGGTTAAAAGAATGAATTGGTTTATATGTTCTCTTGATTGAACCGCGTTCTATTATTGATTTGATTCCTCTGATTTGAATTCTATATCTATTTTCCTTGTGAGTTCTGAAGTAGACTCCACTTGAACTCGAATTCTCAGGAAGGGCGAATGGTGCTATTGTCATGGAAATGAAGGACAGGGATCATTGTTCAACGAAGAAACATGATTGGAATAGGAGGCTTCAGAAACAACTGGTTTTTGATAATCTTCGTGTACGTTGGATGCAAAACCAAATCAGAAAAATTGGTCGCTGGTTGTATTGAGGATGTTTCAGAAACCCAAGTTTCATTAACTGCCGGTATAGTTCTCCAAACTCTAAACTACATTGTCACAATGGGATTGGGTAGCCAGAACATGACAGTGGTTGTTGACACTGGAAGCGACCTGACATGGGTCCAATGTGAGCCTTGCAAGGCATGTTATGATCAACAAGGACCTTTGTTCAAGCCTTCTACATCCCCATCCGATCAATCAGTTCTTTGTAACTCAACAACCTGTCAATCTCTTCTTTCTGCTGCTGGAAATTCAGAAACATGTGAAAATAACGCATCGCCTTGCAGTTACATCAATATATCTTATAATACTCTTCCACCAAGCCATATCTTCAAACGGCTTATCTGTGGCTCTTGACACAAGCCACGTTAGTTAAATAAACATAATTTTCGGGCTGCTATCAAGCCAAGTACAAGCATTTATGATGTGTTTGTGGCTTGGGCAGATAATTTTTGGGTTTCGTGTTGTTCAACCTGATTTTACAAACTCAAACGTTGCTCCTCGCTGCATCTCGTCTCCCTCGCCCTCCCTCAAGCATTCATCAATTTATGATTCCTACCCCCTTTCTCTCTCCCTCTCTCTCTGGATTTTTCTTCTCCAGAGCATTCATCTTCAAGCACAATTAGTGCTCCTTTATGCATTCAGCTGAGCATCTCTATCTTCCCTCTCTTTCTCTTCATCTTCTTCGGCTTTCCCTCTGCTGAAATTTTTTTTTTGTTGTTGCAGGAAATCTAAGCTATATCGATTTGTGATCGATGGGAATCAAAGGAAGGTTCGTTGCGCGGCTACTGTGAAGTTCGTGAAGCGCAATGGGATAGGCATCTGGTTAGGCTTCCTTCACGATTTGTGTTCTTATTTTTCTTCATCTATACCCATGTTTCCTCGTCTTCTCTTTGTTTCTGTTCTCTCCTCTTCTTCCTTTTCCTATTTTCTAAAGCATAAGGATCCAAGAAGGTCATGCTTGCTTCATGTTTTGATTTCTTTTCTTCTCCAAAACTTCTTACAGGTGCATTTACATATTGTAGACTTTCTTTTCTTCTCATGCAGGTTCTTTCAAGATTGATTATTCAGATTGGATTTTAGCTATGAGCTGTAAAATACTCTCTTGTATATTAATAAGAGACAAGACAATGTCCCCGCGATTGCCTTTTCTAATCAATCTCCAGGTTTGGTTTGTCAATGATGAAAAAAGAGAGGAATGCACATTGGGAAAATTTATACTCTCCATTTTTTTTCTTTGATTCAGATTTCTCTTTTCCTAATTTATGAACTATATCATTGAGCTAGGTTGATTCTAGTCTTATTTTTTTAATATATGATTTAAAAGAGGATTTAACTATTTCAAAGAAGCATAATTGAAAAAAGAAGCCTACGTTTGTGCTACTGTATTGGAACTTTATTAAGCTATTTTTTTAGTATGTTGTTATGTTGTTGCATACAACACCTAGACTCAATATGGCTCCCCGAGTGTCATGATGAAACTATTTGTTAGTGTGTTGTTCGCTATGTCATTCAGCTGGGTTGATTCTGGTCTTATTATTTTTTATATATGATTTAAAAGAGGATTTAACTATTTCAATCAGATTATTATTTTTGAAATGTATATTAACCATCAAGCATGGTGAGGGAATGTTGGTAAATAGTGGTCTCTTATGTAATAAGGAACGTGAGGGAATGCAGTAATTATTAATCACAATTGTTGTGTTGTTTCAAACATTTGAATGTCTGGATAGTTGAATATTCATGTGATTTGTATGGTTTTTTTGTCTAACTATCTGTTTTAGTTGAAGTATATGGATGTGTGAATGTTTCTGAAATTGCTTGAATGTTACAAGTGGTTTGATGAAGTTTTGAAGCAACATAATTGAAAAAAGAAGCATGTGTTTGTGCCATTGTATTGGAACTTTATTAAACTATTTTTTAGTGTGTTGTTATGTTGTTGCTTACAACACCTTGACTCAATACGGCTTCCCAAGTGCCATGATGAAACTATTTGTTAGGGTGCTGTTCACTATGTCATTTTGGGTTAGAATTCCTGGTTTATGAATGATGTGACTTCAGGCGAGCTCTTTAGTAGTGGTGATTTACATTGGTAGCAGTTATTATTTTTGTATGCCTTGATGTTTATTTTTCTTATTTTTCTTTCTGTGTTTTTCACTAGGTAAACTGGTATGGGAATAAATTTTGTCCAACTTTATAAATCTGTTTTTGAGAAGTTTCATTCCATGATGGTGTAGTTTCTGCAGCCAATATGCAAGGTAATGTTAATTAATGTACTTTGGATATAGCTACTGTTTTTGTCTGTATCTGATAGTGGTATTTGAAGCATTTAATGATGTTTGAGTGCATCCTTTAATAGTATTGAAGACTTAAAGCTCGGCTAACCTAATATCATTTGCATGAAAGATTCTGTTTTAATTGCAGGTTATAGGAGACAGTGAAAGCATGAAGAAAAAAGCATTTAGTTCTTGATATGGTATTGAGTTAAATATTGTATCTCTGCAAGGAAGAAAAAGCCATATGATCATGCACAGTAATAGTAGCAGACCTAAAAGAAGACAAAACAGAGCAGTGCTTGACTTCTTAGGGATAGAGTGAGAGAGAAATGGTGCTAATAAATTAATGTCAAGTAAGGTTTGCAGTGTTTGATTAAGTAGAATGCAAAATTGGGGAAGTTTTTGTCTCTCATATCATTTAAAGCAGAAGAGGGTTATTATGAATATAGACAAAACTCTATAAGAGGTTGGTTTACCAAAAGATTGATTTCATTGCCTCTGCGTCATCTAATTTTGTGGTATGTATTGTTTTATCTTCAACTTTATCATGGGCTGAAGGTATGATAAAACAATATGAAGACTCTTCAAATGTTGAGTGAGCTTGCTTAAAACAGGGGCATGTAATTGTTGCTCAATTTTGATAAAGACACAGGGAAGTGAGTTTTAATGATATGACACGGGGAAGTGAGCTTTAGGGTCTGTTTGGTTGGGCTTCTGAGGAGCTTATAAGCAGCTTAAAGTCAGCATAAGCCCGATTGGAATTCAGATGCTGTTTGGATGGGCTTGGAAAAAAAAGTGGCTTATGAATTTTAAGCTCCTCAACGCACGTTCTGGCCCAAGCCAATTTTTATGGCTTATTGAATCATAAGCTCTTACTTTTTACCGTTGGATCCTATCAGCCGGTCCTCAATTTTTTTTCCTCAAGTCTTCGGTCTTTCTTCGTCTCCTGGAGCCTTCGTTCTTTCTTTTCTTCTTTCCCATCTGCTCTCCCTTCTACCCGACCGGCGACCCTCATCCTGCCTCCTCCGTCGCCTTGTCGTCCGACCACCGAGAGTTGCCGTGAGCTGCGCCGCGTCTCCGCCGTGAGGTCCTCGTGTTGGGTGTGGCTTCGAGTGACCGAAAGCCTGGTCCTTCACGCGAGCTGCCTCCCCTCATCGTCCGTCCCCAGAACCACCGAGAGTTGCCGTGAGCTGCGTCGCGTCTCCGCCGTGAGGTCCTCGTGTTGGGTGTGGCTTCGAGTGACCGAAAGGCTGGTCCTTCACGCGAGCTGCCTCCCCTCATCCTCCGTCCCCAGAACCACCGACACTTGCCGTGAACTCCGTTGCCGCCGTCAGCTGGTCCATCTCAGGTGTGCGTCGAAGATCTGAGCCTGATCTACCTCTGCCAAACTTCGATTGATCTGCTCTGAGCCAGGTTGACCGATTCGTGTTGTATTGCTTTTCGGTGAATGTAGAATACGGTATTAATCAAAGCATGTGGAGGGTGTGTGTTTGTTGATCTGGTGTGAGCTAATAGATTGACTGATCGAACCACCGTGCTGTGTTATTTTTTTCTTCTTGGCCTGGTTTTGTGGTGTGTTTCGGTGATGAATAATTTTTTGTGATGAATGCTTGACATTTGTTGATTTTTAGATCTGAGTTTTGGGCTAAATCTGGCACAGATGTAATTGCTACCTGCAAATGAGTGTTGTAGGCGACAGGAAGAATGAGCCAAAATACATTCCATATCAATTAATGTTGTCAAATGATCCGGTTCTTATTAGTTTATGATAAGTTTTCTTCTAATTTACACATCAATAAAACATTTTTAACCAATTTAAGTAATTTGACCTAAGTATTCTTTTTTTTTTTTTGCCTTCAATTATTACCTATCATATTCTTATCAATTAGATTATTAAGGGTGAAGGATATTTTAGGGAAAAATTATTGATTACTCTTATACGTTTATAAGGAGAATATAAGGATTATATGCAATGATTATATGCACAGATCTAATGTCTTGGGATTTCTTATTAATTTTAGATGAGAAGAATATGCAAGAACAATTTTTTTTATCTGGGTAGAACTTATTTCTTACATAATGTAGCTTGAATTTGAACATTTTTTGTGCTTTGTTTGGTTCTGTTAGTCTGATCTATATTATTTTCCACTTAGAAATGGATAACGATAAAGAAAAAGCGAGTTGGGATTCGTATACGACGAAAATTCTAATCGATGTTTGTGTTGAGCAAATTGTGCACAAAGAACGTCAAGGAACATCATTTACAAGGCCGGGTTGGAACAAAATTACAAAGAGTTTTCAGGAAAGAAGTGGGAAAATGTATGATAGGAAGCAACTTAAGAATAGATTTGACATTTTGAGAAAGGATTGGAAGTTGTGGGACAAACTTATGTCTGGGGAGACTGGCATTGGTTATGATGCAGCAACAAATAGGGTGTTGGCCTCCGATGAATGGTGGCAACGGAAATTAAGGGTAACTATTTGTGTTGGTTGAGTTTTAGTTTTAAATATTAGTTTCTTCATCGCTGACACTTGCCTAATTACGTTAATGTAGGTGGATCCCAATTTCAGGAAATTTAGACATCAGGGGTTGATGTTTGCATCAGACCTAATGAGGATATTCAAAGATGTTGTGGCTTCGGGAGACTTTATGTATGCACCATCAGCCTCACAACCTCAGCCAGCATTCACTCCACAGGCTGACACAGAAGAGGAGGATGTTTATAGAGTCGGGCTCGACCAACAGGAAGGGTCGGGGGACAGTGAGGATGAAAATTTTGGTGTTGACCCAACAGCCACCGCAGGGATCTCAGATGATTTTGCCGGTTGCAACTTAAACAACCCTTCGAGTACTGGACCAAGTGACTCAGGAAGCTATGGAAAGAGAAAGAGGGGTGAGACGTCTAATGCGAAGAAGAAGAAAAAAGTTGCTGCGACTACAAAAATTTCTGATAGCCTGAGTGTTATAGCAGCTGCTTCTGAAAAGCGAGCATCAGCATTGGTTGAAGATCCCCAACAAGTTGAGAAGATTTGGGGACACCTGGCTAGCCTTGAGGAGCTTAATGGTAACCCTCAACTATATTATGCATGTGCGAAGATGCTTACGCGGCTGAAATGGGCTAGGAGAGCCTATTTGGGGTTTATGCCTGATAAAAGCAAGTTGGGAGTGGTTGATACCGGCAGCACTAGACCCAGACACATGGAAGGGACCTGTAGATTAGGATTTAGTTTAGGACTTTGTGTTCACTGTTGTTACTGCATTTATAACGTGAACTAATTGCTGTTTGAACCTAAACTTATGTGACTTGTTGTAGAAGGGACCTGTAGAAATCTTAGTAATGACTATGTAATATTTATGCTAATTTCTACTTATCATATATGTGTTTGGTTTTGCTGTGTTTGGTTTTTCTATTTGCAGTATGATAATTATTTACACCTTGTTTAGGGTAATCCTTATAATGCTTACACTTTGTTGTCATCATAGTTACAGGGTTAACTCCAGAAATGGCTTCTTGGAATGAAGATACTTTGAAGGATTGGAATGATGATTCACCATTGAATGAAGATACTTTGAAGGATTGGAATGATGATTCACAGTGCAATGAAGATGACCGTTCAAGACAGATTAATGAGGAATTAACACAATATGAAGCAGTAGGTGCATGGTTGGTCATTACTGTGAAATGTATATGTTTAAACAACCCTGCAGAACTAGTGAGCAGACAGGAAATTTATGGGTGCAAGGTATTATGAATGGCCATGATGATCGATGTCCTGAAATGTTTAGAGTGGATAAATATGTTTTCCACCTCTTATGTACCAAATTGGAGGAACACGGTTTACGAAAGTCTAAATACGTAGGAATTGAAGAAATGGTCGCGATGTTTTTAAACACGGTTGCACATGGACAATGCAACAGGATGATTCAAGGAACGGTTTCAACGTTCAGGGGAAACTGTAAGTAGGCACTTTCATAATGTACTGCAAGCTTGCCTTAGCCTATCGAGTGAACTTATTCGACCCATAGATCCTACATTTCGTGGAACTCATAGAAAAATTGAGACCGATCCACGTTATTATCCATTTTTCAAGGACGCAATCGGAGCAATTGATGGCACTCATATTCAGTGTGTTGTCCCTGCTGCAGAAAAAGAGACAAATTTATTGGCAGAAAGGGAAATCCATCACAAAATGTCATGGCTGTATGTGATTGGGATATGTGTTTCACTTTTGTCTTGGCGGGATGGGAGGGATCTGCACATGATGCTCGTATATTTGACAGTGCTATTACAAATTCATCTCTTAATTTCCCTCATCCACCTCCAGGTATATGTTTATAAGTTGCAATCACGCATGTTTTTTTAATTATTTCATTTTTTTTCTTTTCACAATCTCTCTAATTGTTTCATGAATCATTAGGGAAAATATTACTTGGTTGATGCGGGATATCCAACACCAAATGGATATCTAGGTCCATACAGATCTGAGCGCTACCACCTTCCGGACTTCCGACGACAAGTAGGATTTCGAAATATCAATGAAGCCTTCAATTACTATCATTCCAGTTTAAGGTGCACAATAGAAAGAACTTTTGGTGTTTGGAAGAATAGATTTCACATCTTACGAAACATGCGTAGTTACGACTTCCAAACACAAGTATACTTAGTTTGTGCAACAATGGCCATTCATAACCTTATAAGGAGGCATTCAAGCTCCGACTCCCTTTTTGAACAAGCTGAAAATGATAATATAGTGGCCGAACATGATCAGGCTGAAGCTAGTCAACCATCGCCTTCAAACGTTACATCACAGTCTTCATCGCATATGAATCGTCGTGTTCGTGATGCAATCAGAGACCAAATCGTTCATAGTTTATCAAATAATTAATTATGTAATATTATTTTATTTTATTTTGTCAATTGGAGTTCAAAACTTTGTTATCCATTTAAATTATGTTTAGTTGACTTCTTCGTATTAAATTAATTTAAATTTATTGTATTATGTTTTTTTATCATGTTGCACTTTGTTTCTTAAATATTTTTTATGATTTCTCTACAGTTCGTAATTCTAATTCACTAAATAAATTTTACTTCATCATTATATTATCTCTATTCAATTTTTTCCTTCTTTCACTTTATATTTAAAATAATTTTTTAGATTACTCTAAATTTTAAAAATTTAATTCACTTATTCATATTAAATTATTTTAATTCCATTGTATTATGTGAAATTATTTTTTTCCTATTTTTTACTATTTATTAAAACTCATACCTATTTTAGTCATTTTACAACCAAACTTACTTTTACTCAACCATAATCCAAACAGCTTTTTATCCATTTCACTTTTGCAAACGGGCTTTTCTGAACTCCAATCCAAACACAAT